GGCCATACAAATAGTTGTTCCGTGCGAGATTCGAACCCGCGGCCCCCAGCGCAACAACTAATTGCTAAGCCACTGCGCCACGGAGCCGTCGCCGGGTTATAGCTAAAGTGACCATACGTCCCGTTTTGAACGGGACTGTCCCTTTTCTCGGTCACCTGTCCCATTGTCCCCAAACAAAGCTCCGGGACACAAAATTGTCCCGTAACTAGTTGGATGGAAGTATTCAAAGTCAACAATCTTCAACATAATTTTTTTTTAATCGAATATATTTTATGTCGACCTGGTACGAATGCTCCGGTAGAAAGAGTATTTTTTTATTTTGAATAAATTGTGGACGTCTGAAAGAAACACAATAAAAAAGAAAAACATAGTTGTTCCGTGCGGAATTGAAACCCACGGCCCCCAGTGTAACAACTCATTGCTAAGCCACTGCGCCACGGAGCTCTCAACATCTCTCACTTTGTGTCCCTCTGTCACCTGTTAAGACACCCAATGTTGTTACACCGCCCCTACACGATGGTAACACACCGTTATATTTCAATGAAAAGTATTCCGTGATACCTATTTTGCAATTTTGAAATTTTTACTGCAAACGTTTATAAAGTAAGAGCGGGGGAAGTAGACTTTTTTCCCTGAATTCTGCTCCCTATGAGATTATAGCCCTGGTCCCCACTCCATGAACATAGGTGTTGCAAAGCATTTGAAACGTCAGCGATTCAAAATAAGTTTAGTTTTATTTAACGTCAATAAACCTGTTTATTGTAAATCTAAGCTCTGCGTGATAGACTCCGTAATAAGGATATCCGCAGGAGAACAAGAGGAACCGACTTAGCGCAACGGATCTGTAAACTGAAGTGGCAATTGGCCGGCCATATGGTTCAAAGAACCAACAACTGATGGGGAAGAAAGGTGGCAGCCTCGCACCAGTAAGCAAAGCTTAGGGCGGCCCTCTACTAGATGGAGTGACGACCTGATAAGACATGCCGGTAGTTGACAGAGCAGTGCTTTGTAGTATACCTTGGGGAGGCCTATGTTTAGCAATGGACTTGTGATGTGCTGTAGTGATGATGATGATGATATCGTTGATAAAATATCGCTTCACTTTTAAACGTTTGAATTAACAAAATAAATTTATAGTAAACCAAACTCGATCGACCAATGTGTTTGATTAACAATATAAAGCACGTTCGAACTAATGGCTGAATTATAAATATTGGTTTATTTCACGGTTCATCTTTGTTTGTTATCTAACAAAAATACTGCCTTTTGGTGCTAGGGTTGCTACTTACTTTTATTAAAGAAAAACTGTACAAAAGCAGTTACCTATTATAACATTAAAGAATACATGAATGAAAATAACCCCTAGGAATGAGGTGATCGCCCCCATGCTCATTCTATTAAAATTAATTTTAATTTCTTTCTATAGTATGTACGTGGAGGTAATATGGTCATACGGTTAATATGGTCACGCTTATAACTCAAAAACTACAGCCTTATTTGCATAGGTGGCTTTGTGATACGATAGCTCTTGATCAGTCAATAGGACGCCGCTTTATCGATTCCATTTTGACAGTTGATATTATAGTAAATATTTTAGTCAATTTTAGTATTGGGTAGTGTAGTTAGTTTTTGTTTAGTTAATTTTTCGAAGTGTTCCTCATTATTGTAAAGGCTTGTTTGCTCTTTTTTTCTTAATATATTAGTTATACCCTCACGTACCTTATATAATTGTATATAATTATTATAAAATTATATCTGTCTAAAAGATAATTCTTCTATATTTCTTGCTGGTTTTTCCCAGGATATAGTTTTTTCCGAACGAGTGGTAAATAACAAAATGTTTCAACAAGTATTATGTAATAATTTTTACAGAATAAAGTTGAACCGTGTAGTGACGGTGTAAGAATATCCACTACCCCATATCATCCCGTGGGTGTCGTAAGAGGCGACAGAGGCAAACAACCAGGGCAGCAGTGTCTTTTTAAAAAAAAAGCAGTGTCTTCCTAATCACAATCAAAAATTAAAAAAACGGTCGTTGCGACCTACCTGCCAAGCGTGGCAACTATAGCAAATATCCCTATGAGGTAATCAATGGGGGAGGCCTATGTCCAGCGGTGGACTTTAATAGGCTATAATGGATGGATATATAGAGGATAATCTACCAGAAGCACATGACCCACTGAGAGGTGAAATTTTCTAATCAACAGTAACATTACAACTATGGCAAATATCCCCCTTATGAGGCAATCTATGGGGGAGGTCTATGTTCAGCAGTGCACTTTAATAGGCTGTAATGGATGGATGTATAGAAGATAATCTACCAGGAGCACATGACCCACTGAGAGGTGAAATTTTCAAATCAATAGTAACATCACAACTATGGCAAATACCCCCCCCCCCCCCCCCACCCACCACTATTATGATTTATTCAATGGGGGAGGCCTATGTTCAGCGGTGGACTTTTAATAGGCTGTAATGGATGGATGTATAGAAGATAATCTACCAGGAGCACATAACCCACTGAGAGGTGAAATTTTCTAATCAACAGTAACATTAAAACTATGGCAAATATCCCCCTTATGAGGCAATCTATGTGGGAGGCCTATGTTCAGCAGTGCACTTTAATAGGCTGTAATGGATGGATGTATAGAAGATAATCTACCAAGAGCACATGAGCCACTGAGAGGTGAAATTTTCAAACCAACAGTAACATCACAACTATGGCAAATAACCCCCCCCCCCCCGCCCCCCCAACTATTATGATTTATTCAATGGGGGAGGCCTATGTTCAGCAATGGAATTTTGATAGGCTGTAACGAAAAAAATTATTTTAATTAATAAGGGTGACAAACGAGCACACAGTACTTCTCATGGTAAGCGATGGCCCATAGACACCTAAATACATATCTCCATCATTAAGGATCAAAATGTTATAGTTGTCACCCCTGAGGACTAAGAGTGCCTCGTTACCACTAAAAACACAGTTTTCTGCCGTATCACGCTGGTATTCTGTGAGAGCGTGGTTCTTTACCGGCCAAGCGCAATTACTGCTGCAACCCTAATATAGCTGCAGCGTGTCTACCACGTTAAATTCGCAATTCCACTGCTTAACATAGACTTCCCCATAAATTGCCTCATATCCCCCATTATTGCAACTTCAAAAAGGAGCCGGTACTCAATTCGACTGTATGTTTTTTTTTGTGTGTTACCTCATAACTTCTTACTGGTTCAACCGATTTCGATGATTCTTTTTTTTATTTGAAAGCTAGTGCTTCACATGTGGCACCATATAAATTTGATCAAGGTCTGACCAATAGTTATTGAGTTATTCTTAATAATTTATATTGAAGTCGCTTGTACAAAATTTTAAATTATTGTCATTTTGAGTGGTACCTATCAGGAAGATCCTGCTACGCATTTTCTGTTTCATTTCCCTCTTTTTTCTCTTGCAAGTGCCGAATGATATCGGGTATAGTGATTCTATTTCACGGTGAAGTATTGACTTTGGTTGTTGATAGCCGTGCACATACACATTGTGTTAGTGTGCGTAGGCTGCGGGCGCTCGGGAGTAGCGCTCGCGAGGCCTACGCACACCAACACAATGTGTATGTGTACGACTAACACAAGCAAAGTCAAAACTTCATCGTGAAATAAAATAACTATAGTAGATACTCTTATGCCGCCACTGCTGGGCCAAAGTAAGGAAATGTTAAAATTTTGTGCTTAAGGTTAAAAAGGGAATTTAAAAACCGGCCAATTACGAGTCGGACTGTCTTCTAGTGGATTTGTTATCTCGTGGAACAGGATCTATTTTTTCAGTTTGTTTCTCACAGTTACAGTCTGCTATTTTGAGATGTTTTTTTATTTCTTACGATAAATACGCCTCACTCCCTATTAGTATTGAAGCCCCCTTTAAAACTTAATTAATTTTTATTTGTATTATTTGTTATTATAGCGGCAACAGAAATACACATTTTGTGAAAATTTTAATTGTCTTCTTATTACGGTTCATGAGATACAACCCGCTAACAGACAGACGGACGGACAACGGAGGCTTAGTGATAGGGTCCATAAAAGGGATTACTTTTCTTAGAATTTAATGGTTAAGCTAAAATGTCAAAAGCCTATACAGATATCGTGTCTGGCACGAATGAAAATAACCCCTGGGAATGGGGTGATCGCTAAAATGTTGTTTATATTATAATTCATATAAAAAATTGAAAAAAATTATCGTAAAGTTATATAAGTTAAAAAATATATAAACCCGCTGGGTTTTTTGCTGGTTTTTCCCAGGACAGAGGTATTTTCCGAACCAGAGGTAAATAAAAAAATTACTTTCAATAAGTATTACGTAGTAATCAATCTATACACAAATAAATAAAATTAGTGTCTGTTTGTTATGTCAAAATAACAGCTTTTCACTAAATGCATATGAAAGTATATACGGTACCTAAAACAAAAACGCAATTTTTAAAATTTTTGTCTGTCTGTCTGTCTGTTTATTCCGGTTAATCTCCGCAACGGCCGGACCGATTTTAATGGAACTTTCACTGGCAGATAGCTGATGATATAAGGAGTAACTGAGGCTACTTTTATTTTAGAAAAAGAATTGGGGTTCCGCTCAAAAAAATTAAAAACCTAAATTACACGCGGGCGAGGATGCGGGGTACAGCAGTTTTTGAACCATGAGCAAGTATTGAATAAAAATATTCTATACTGTTCTACTCGTAATTTAAAACGGGACGCTTGATGCGCGTGACGAACAGCTTAAAGCAGCCTTATCCTCGTGTTTTATATTATATTGTCCAAGAAGATTACTTTATAAATTATAATAAACAATAGCACATGAATATTTCATAAAATAAAATTTATTGAAAAATAGATTAAATTGTATAAATATTAATAATTGATGACAAATAAAAATGAAGGCATAATTTTGTAGTTTCCTGGTGCTTTTTTGATTAACAAAATATAAAAAAAAAAATTAAAAAATGTATGAGTCAGTAACCGTTGGCACGGGCAACGTGGTTCCCATGACCCGTGACTAATCCGTTGTCATGGTGACCGACGGAAGCTCGTACACCGCTTGCGTTAGAGTCGTAGCCACTGCGAGTGAGGTCTTCGGAATCCTGGTAGGTCACGCGCGGTTTGAACCCGCGAACATCGGCTTCATAACTAACAGTCTGAAAGCAAGACCAAAGGTTAGAAAAGTAACTTACGAGCACACAGTTCACCTGATTATAAATGGATGCTGTGGACCATAGACATCTACATTTATCCTCGATCAAGAATCAAAATGTAGATGCGTTCACCCTTGTGGATTAAGCTGGAATGCATCGTTTCCAGTAAAAAGGGTCTCCGGTTCTCTACACTCACCATATGAAACACTGTAGCTTTAAGCTGCTATTTTACGTTGGTATTCTGTAAGAGCGTGGTCCTATCCCGGTCGAGCCGACCCATTCGTGCTACTATTAATATAGCTGCAGCGTAGCTCTACTATATAAAAAGTCTGCTGAAAAGAGTGTGATGCTTACACTGTCTAAAAATTTAAATATGACAATATCACTTCCATATTTACGACAAATCTGGCGGCACGCCGTACGTTTAATTCCATCTAGTTGCCTAGGTCGCAGAACGTGCCAAAGAAATAGGGTTACATACAAACAGTAGATCATACACGCGAAAAACATTCCATCCGGTGCATTCAGGTAATAATTTAAAATTAAAAATTTTGTATAACCGACTTCAATATAAATTATTAAGAATAACTCATAAATTGTTGGTCAGACCTTGATCAAATTTATATGGAACCACATGTGAAGCACCAGCTTTCAAATAAAAAAGAACATCGAAATCGGTTCACCCAGTAAAAAGTTAACACATAAAAAAACATACAGTCGAATTGAGTACCGTCTTCTTTTTGAAGTCGGCAGAAAAGAGCAATGTCGTTTTTATGTGGTAGTTCTTCGCTACAGTACGAATGGGTCGGCTCTACCGGCTTCGAGCGTGTTCCTCCACGGTCGCTCAAAATACCAGCGTGAAATAGCAGCTTAATGCTGCTGTGCTTCGTATTTTTAAAGGAAGAAAGGGAAATCACAGCCGCCATGCTAGCCGTAGCTATGTCCTTCTCTGTGGGACAGACGAGCACACGCATCACCTAATGGTTAGCTGCAACTGCAACACCGGGGAAATTGCAGGTGCGTTGCCGGAGTTTCTAAAAGGAATATGCTTTATTCTTAAAATTTCTTAAGCTGTACCGATCCGGAGCAATCATTAGTGGTAGCCGATTGCACAAAGAAATTCTGTTAGAAAGCAAAATTCTGGCAAATCGCACAGTTTTGGACCGTCAAGCAATTTCCTCGCGATGTGCGACGGTAAAATTTGGTAGCTGATAAAAATAAAAATAATAAAAGGAATAAAATAATTTCACAGTCTGAAGTCAGGGCTAAATTATTGGAAGTAAAGCTTCTAGGGAGTCAAAATGGCCTCAAACCAAAAACGAGGAGTGGCTCGAACTTTAGGCATGGTTAGTTTGAATAGCTTATCATGTAGAAGATGTCATGGAGGTCATGGTTGAATAGGGGCACAATGTTCTCATTACACTCCTAGGGGGTCAAAATGGCCAAAAACCAAAAAATGAAACATTCTTATTTCGGCTGTTACTCCGCCTCCTTCGGAGGTTCTTACACAGTCTTTACTTCCCGCATCGCACTTGTCATTCTTTATCTAATCTGTGGTTCCTTTATACCTGTCTCCTGCCGTCAGGTAATACCACGTGATACTGCCCATGTGCTGACTCATCCAGCCTTTCCTCGTGATGGCCGAAATCAATTCCTTCATGGTAATCATTGACCATGTACCCGAAATTGTAGTTCGCTGGTTCCTGTGCAGAGAACTTAGCATAAGTACTGCTGTCTCTATCCAGAGCTTCATTTTATTTTAAGTTTATGTTATTTAAAATGTTATTTACAATTATGTACTTATACTAAATTCTACGCTCAGAACAACTATTCCATATGATTAATTCTAGCACCATTTCGTTTTCTGGGTATCGTTGTAGGCGATTATGAAAAATGTTATGAGATTTTTATGCCTCCCAATAGATGGCGTTGTACTCAACTCGTTAATAAACCAGAAGTAAAATATCCAAACCAACGACGGGCTGCAGCGTCAAAAGTGCAAGACGTTTGGTGCCTACAGCGATTGTCAATCACAAGCGAGACGATTAATACCAATCCCCCTTCATGAGATACGGACGATGAACTTAAGGCGATACCCCGACCAAAACCTTGCGATAGTGCGTTTTTCAGAGACTATTATCTCATTAGTTATGAGAAATAAAGTACATCTAAAAGCACATTATTAATTTTTTAATCCTGTCATCACATTCCACGTTCTAATTTGTTTTTATGTGTTATAAATACATTTAAAATCTACTTTTAAAAAATTACTAAAATTATTGATTACGTGTATGTGTTGCTAAAGGCTCTAATCATTTGAGGATTACACTAATGGATAGATAATTTAAAAATCTATGTTATTCACGTTTTATTTAATTTTTAAAGTTCATTTTTCTTTTTTAATTAAATTAATTCCAAAAATTGTGTGAATTCTATGATAAAGCGGCGTACGTCTAAAGAGGGAGCGAATGCTCAAGGTTATTTGGTCAGGAAAAAGCCTTAAAATCCGAACCTTAAAATGAACTAATGGGTTTTTAGTAGATAGTTCCACACTATCAACTACTGGTATACACCACTCCTAACACCAGCGCATGAATGGTTAACGGAATGAGGGCACCCACGACTTTTTCTGCCACAAGGGCGGCGCCACTTAAAAGTGAGATAATATTTGACAGATTTCATAGTGAGGAAGTTAATTTGTTCGAAAAGTGTAAAGGTTGCTGTTTCTTTCTGTGCTATATTTTATATTAATACGATTAAAATAAATAAACTAAACCACAGATATTCATAAAAGTAGCAAAATTAAAAAAAGATACAATGTGCAAAAAATTAAAGAACAAACCACTAATGAAACTGGTAAACTTTTATTAAAAACCACCTTGTCAATTAAATGACTTCGTGTAACAAAAAACTTTACCTCAGTGTCAACTAGCGATATCTGGTGAGCAGAAAATTATTAGCCCTCATTAGTTCCGTTAACATTCTAAGTAAGCTACATACGCTGGTGTTAAGAGTTAAAAATACAAACAATGCAATAATATAGGAGTTAAATATTAACCTTAATATTAGTGTTAATGTTAATAGTATTGTTTGTATTTTTAAACTGTCTCGTTGGTATAGTGTGCGACGCCAGAAGCTTCTCTGTCAATAGATTTTTTGTCAATAAAAATAAAATTCGCAATAGCCCGCCCGGAGTCAGGAAGCCGTTGCTGATGCGCCCAGTCGTGTCGGACTATAAGAGAGAGGGGATAGAGAGTGCACTTGTGACACTATAATACAGTCCTGCGTAGATAGCTAATCTATGTTGAGACTGGCCCCCGAGACAGAAATTCGGTCTTGACGACCTTATTTTTTTTAAATAAAAAGAAATATACTTGTAAAATTAACACTTACTCCACTAACATCTTCTACAGCATTTCTACCGAAAGCTGCGCCATTTTGTTCATATCCGTGTTCACTATTGATCCCGAATCTAGCATGGACTCCATGATCGTGTGGACTGTTCCTGGAAAGTATAGAATATTATTCTACAATGTCAAAAAGAGAAGAGAATATCAGTAAGAGAAAAAGGGAGTAAAAGAGCTTGCCATTAGCTGGTTTATGACAATAGTAAGATGCTATCTACTCTTGTCATTCGCATGCATAGAGCAACACGGACCACCGGTGGCCTCTGTTACTCAATATTCACATGCTACTCTATGTTCTTTTTTTTTTCTTTTTAAAAACGTTACCTCCACACTAGGATTTTTCCTGTATCGTTTTTTGTGTTGGTGTTACTCTATGTTCATATGCAAGCATGGTTGAATATCCTCTAAAATGAACAATAAACCAGTGGTTGTCTAGTATGCCACTGGATGCCGTATCTTTTGAACGCGTTAACTTTTTTTTAATTCTATACAATATCAGCATCTCAAGATTGTTCCTAATTAATAAACACATTAAAACTCTATCTCAAAACGCTGTACTTAGGAATACTGTTCTGTGACTTGCACTCAAGTACACACACTTGAGAGTCGAGTTTCGTTTATTAATCAGTGTGGCACTCAGCTGATATAAGTAGTAAACCTAAACCGCATCTTGAGATAGGTTTTTAATAAGATCATAACCTCAAGATTGTACTCAAGTGCGAGTACTTGAGCTGCGTAACGTTTGTTAATACCGGACATTAGTATCTCAGTTATCCGTATCACGATTAGTGATACGGAAAAAAATAATGTACTGTAACGTCGCGTAATGGAACTCGTATGGTTCATGTACATTTTATTTTAATTTTAATTGTGTTGATTTCTGAATCTCGACAACAGCGCCACCTACCGGGTCGAGTTGTGAATCATTTAGAATAATAAAATAGAATAGAATCATTTTTATTCAATATAGATTATAGTACATAATACTTTGTGAAAGTCATTTTTTAATTTTACCACTGATTCACAAAAAAAAACCTCTGTCTGTTTTTTAAAAAGCAAAATTTACTATATAACAATTTATACAATTGTTATGTAAACATTTAGAAACAGCATGGTAGCGATCACCTCATTCCCAGGGGTTATTATCAGTCACGTACTCTTTAGTAGTGTAATAACCCTTACTAGACAATATCTGCCTAATAAATAATTTAAACCTATTATAATGTAGATCGTCCAGGTCCAGGGACCCACTCAAATACACACAAAAACTTTCATCAAAGTCGGTTCAGCCATTTTCAAGTTTTTCGAGACTAACAGACAGATACATAAAAAGACAACATATAATATATAACAGACAATATATAAAAATTTTTGTATATATTTTATATATTTAGATTATAATTAAGCAATTGAAACCTGGCAAATCCATTCCCGTGGTGTTCTTGGCCGTGTTTGTCAAGACTTCTAGCAGCCACAACTTCTGGTATTCCCGCATTAAAAGGAGCACCACTTTGAGGACCTTGAGGATATCCCTCACTCCCAACTGATGATGGAGGAAGGTAGCTGGAATATGCAATATTTTATATTTACAGAATTTTTAAATAAGATGTTATGATGATATAACTTGTATAGTATTTTAATAAAGCTCAATTTTTTTTATTTCATTGTTTGTTTTTAGTACCTACTGCGGTTACGTGGCTTTAGGTTAGCATATCTACCAACCGTCCTATCCCATATCGCCTCGAGGGTGTGGTAAGTGTAGAGAACTGAAGACCCTTTTACTGGAAACGAGGCATTTCATCTCAGTCCTCACGGGTGACAATCCATCTGCATTTTTATTGAGGATCTGCATCTTAAATGAGGATAAGTGTAGCTGTCTACACCACCGCACCCACTTATAATAAATATAGATAATTGTATTGTCATTGGTCCTTGATACGAATGCAAATTTTCAAGTCAATCGGCCGTCAACAAGTTGGTGAAAATTACATTAAAAGTTTCCATTACATAGATAGATAGATACACGCGAAGCTAATAAAAACGTATTAAAAATATGAAGCAATCGAGGGAGACCTATTTCTGCAGTGGACTTTTATAGACTACTAGCTGTGCCCCGCGGTTTCACCCGCGTCATCACGTGTCCGAGGTGCGCGACATGACCTAGTTCAAGCATTTTATAACGGCTAGGGTTTAAGCGTCGTTCGCGCGCCCAGCTAAGTATTGAATTATTTTAATTTTACATTATGTCTTAAACTATGCGTCCAAATAACATGGTATATAGAACAAAGTTTATCTTCTTAAAATTGTCTTGATGATGAAGTAATTTTCGTTCGTAAGGATAAATAGGCCATGCCTAATAATAACGCTCATAAATCACTTTTAAATTTTCAATATTTTTTTGTCACAAAATACCAAATTATGGCTTATGTATAAGAAACAGACATGGTATCGCGGACTTTTTTTTAGACGGAGTAAAGGTTTTTTTTTCTAGAACATTGTATAAACGTATCCATAACGATAACACCAGCGTACGCGGATAAATCATTTCGGGAGTGCTTTTTCTTCTGACTTGCTTAACATATATCCATATTTAAGGCTAGCTGAGTAATATAACTTAATGCTAGATAGCCTATACTATTCCACATGAATCTGGCTATAATATACAAAGAGAGAAAGAATTTTTCAAATCGGACCGGTAGTTCCAGAGATTAGCACGTTTAAACAAACAAAAAACTCTTCCGCTTTATTATATTATAAGTATAAGTATAGATAATGGATGAATGATCTATCAATCACATTCAACCGGAGACCCATTTTACTGGAAAAGAGGCATTCCATCTTAGTCTTCACGGGTGACGACGCATCTGCATTTTGATTCTTCATTGAGGATAAATGTAGATGTCTATGGGTCACAGCAACCACTAACCATCAGGTGGAATGTGTGCTCGTTTGTTACCCTACCCTATAAAAAAATCATCTTATGTACAGTAAGTCGAGCCATTCGAGGCAGTGCCTTTCTATAGAATATGAATGACAAACGGACACACAATCCACCTGTACTGAGTGTATACTGTGGCCCATAGACATCTACATCCATCCTCGGTTAAGAATCAAAATGAAGACGCGTTGTCATGCGTGAGGACTAAAATTAAATGCCTCATTTCCAGTAAAAAGGGTCTCTGGTTCTCTGCACTCACCATACGAAATACATCAGCATTAAGGTGCTATTTTACGCTGGTGTTCTTTTTTTTTTTTGGGTAAAACGTTCTGCACACGTGTGGGCCTACTCATTCGAGTTGCAACCACAATATAGCTGTAGCATGGCTCTACATGTACAAATATTAGCTTTTTCTGAATCGCCTTAAAATATATTATACCTTTTTGATGGTGGTGGTTCGGAAGCCGTGAACGCAACCAGGGCGACGGTGATGATCAGGGTCTGGAAAAAAGGAAATTTGATGTATATCAGAATAAAAAGTAAATTCTTCTTCATCATTATCAGCGCTTCAAAAGTCCACTGCTGAATAGGCCTTATTCATGGAATGGCACAAAGCAACTCCTGAGTTGTCGAATATTATTATTATTATTATTATTAACTCCTGAGCCACCTGTATGCATCGACTTCCTGAATCTTTTATCAGGTCACTCCATCTAGTGGGGCCTTACCGGTGCGAGGCTACTACTCGAGAATCATTCTCCCCATCGGTTGTCGGTTCTTCGAGCTATATGACCAGCCAATTTCCACTTTAACTATGTGCTAGATTATGTCGTTTAATATAGTTTTACTGTGGATGTCGTCATTTGGAAGACTCTCACGCAGAGAAACTCCTAGCATAGCCCTCTCCGATTTCGCTGAGAGACCTTAAGGTTCCTCAGTCAGCAGTGAAAAACCACTTCTGAATAATAATACTAAATGTCCTCAAAATTATTTTTGGAAACCTGACATAATTTAAAAAAATGATGTCATGCCTTATGGAACTTATTACATCTTAAAAATTTTGGTTTTTTTTTATAGGATAGGGTGACAAACGAGCACACAGTCCACCTGATGGTAAGTGGTTACTGTGAACCATAGACATCTACATTTATCCTCAATAAAGAATCAATTAACAGAATTAAGGGTCTCCGGTTCTCTACACTCACCATAAGAAACACAGCAGTGTCAAGCTGCAATTTTACGCTGGTATTCTGTGAGAGCGTGGTCCTTTCCCGGTCGAGTCTACCCATTCGTGCTACTACTATACTACTAACATAGGTGTAGCATGGCTCTACCACGTATAAAATGTAGGTAGTAGCATATAGTATAATAACATTAAGTATGACACATTAACACATTTAAGTATGATAGATTAATAATAAGAAACGAATCAGAAATCCGTGTGGTGGGGGGCTAGTAGTGAAAGTAAACAGAATAAAACCTCCTATATTGTCTCGGTTTTAATGAATGCATTTGGTGGAATGTACCAAAGGGATCTCGTTGAATTCGACAAGTGGCGTTTTAATCTCGAAATCGCCAATTATACCAAAAACTGAAGGATTTTGACGCTACATGACATTGCGATCGTCAATTCGCATACCAATGGTGGTCTAGATGGTAGAACTCCTTTTCTCTGCCTAGAAGTCTTAGATACGAGAGAAAATTGGGTTCAGCGTTTGAATTGGATTTTCCACTATCAGTCTATCACCAGCCTCGGCTGTTAATCAGCTACACCCTGCTCATTAATTAGCGGTGAGCTTGTGAGGAGCTGTAATGATGATGATAACGATGAAAGCACTTTACGGTATTATGTATTACAATATAAATTTCACAAAACACGTCCGAAAAATTTAACAACAACAACTTTAATGTTTTACTGAAATTTACCTTCATCTTCCAAGAGATCTGTAACTGTTACAAGAATCACTGTTTACTTTTGATGTTTTAAACGTATTTACTTTAGCTTATATAGCGACAGCCTAACAGCTGACACTGATGAGGGCGGGGGTGACTTATTGCTTCTCATTAACAGTATAATAGAAGAGCTTTCAAGGTAGTTGCGCATTAAAAGAACAGAGAAATGTTTGGAGCTGTCGTAACCTGTTATACTGTAAACTTTTGTTTAAATTTATCACATCACTACAAGACGTATCGGTAATTACGGCGGTAATAATTATTGAAGAATATTTTATTTATCTTAGCTGAATAACGACGGCATAAGGTTAATCCACTACCCCATATCATCACATGAGTGTCGCAAGAGGCGACAGAGGGAAACAAACCAGAAGATATGCATCAGCGTCTTCTTAATAACAACTAAAATAAAAATAAAACTACGGCCGCCAACCCAAATGCTGAAAATATGCAAAGGAGGCATTTTTTCAGCAGTGAACTTTTGATAAGTTGTAATGATTAATGAAAGAGTGATGAAGGTACTTTTTACTTGTATAAAAACATACAACATCTACTTTACTTAATATATATTCTTAGAATATCTTCAAGTGGAACGTAAGAGTAGCTTCTTTTGAAGATTATCTGGCCCAAACGAATTACCAAATGACCAGTTTACTATCCTAGTCGCGAGCTATACGTGAAAGAGAACCACGCACCGCGCGCCATTTCGACATATCTTCGCATTGATTTTCACCTTTGCACCCTTGTATTTTACCCCATATCTTTATTTCTGTGAAATATACGGCTACACAATTTTATTTATAAGAATTACACAAAAAGTCTTATTATTATGATATACATTTACGTATTATTTTTAGATGGTAGAGCCACGCTGCAGCTATATTAGTAGTATAGTTGTAGCACGAATGTCGGCTCGACCGGGGAAGGACCACGCTCTCACAGAATACCAGCGTCAAATAGCAGCTTGCTGCTGCGTTTCGTATGGTGAGTGTAGAGAACCGGAGACCCTTTTTACTGGAAAAGAGGCATTCCATCTTAGTCCTCACGGCTGACAACGCATCTGCATTTTGATTCGCAAACGAGGATAAATGTAGATGTCTATGGGCCACACCAACCACTTAGCATCAGGTGGACTGTGTGCTCGTTTGTCACCCTATCCTATAAAAAAAATACATTATATTGTTATCACATAAAAACATATTAAGATTTTCAACAAAATGCACCTATTTTACAGAATATTTTCAAAGTTAGAAATCTTAAATATCTAACACACATAGTTAAAATAACAATCTTTATTAACAAAGTATGAATATCTTTTTTTTTATAGGATAAAGGTGACAAACGAGCACACAGTCCACCTGATGCTAAGTGGTTGCTGTGGCCCCTAGACATCTACATCTATCCTCTGTTACAAATCAAAATGTAGATGCGTTGTCACCCGTGAGGACTAAGATGGAATGCCTCATTTCCAGTAAAAAGGGCCTCCAGCCACCTGCACTCACCAAGCAAAACGCAGAGGTAAACCTCTACTTCACGCTGGTTTTCTGTGAGGTCGTGGTACTACCCCGGTTCGAGCCGGCCCATCCGTGCGACAGCAAAAGCTGCCGCGTGGCTCTACCACTGTTAATCTTAACTAATACAATAGTTTAAATCACAATTTATAGGTACTTTATACTTTAATTCGACTTTAATTTTCTTATATAAGTCTATTATTATTACAATATTTTAAGCACAAATTTAGGTACTTTTAACACAACACTGATTTTATTAACACACTAGCTGTGCCCGCGGCGTTGCTCGCGTATATAGATTTTACATAAAGAATTTGTCGTTTAGGTAAGAGAATATTAAACGATTTATATCATTACTGTATCAATAAGTGGTAACAAATAAATCATTATCATCAAAGTTCTAAGTAGTTTATGATAGAGCTTCGGTGTAAACGACGTTAGAAGTAGACTTAGACGGGGTGTACACAAAAAGTTTACGGGGGCTATTAACGCGGGAAAAAGCAACATAGAGTTGGCCATGTGCAAAACAGTCAGTACTGAGGTCCACTCTTACAACGCGTAAATTTTGACCTTGCGCTTTATTTACGGTCATCGCATAACACACGCTGACTGTAACTGGGAACTGAACGCGCTTAAAATTGAAGGGAAAGTTACTTCTTAATAGAGGGTTTTTTGGCAGTGCTGCCAGATCAAAAAAACTCATTCAGCGCTAGGACAACACAAAAAGCGCTAGATTTCATGAAAACAGCGCTTTAAAAAAGCCCTGGATTTCGCGCTAAATTAACTAAAAACAAAGTTTGTGTTTTTTATTATAATTTATAATTCAAGAAAATTTAATAATAATAAAGAAAACAACATTAAGTTTTTTTCTGGCAATATTTTTTGATGTATCAATACTTCGCAGGACATCGACTTATAATTATGGCAATTGCTGTCAACAGTAGTTAGTACTACTCTAAGTAACTTTTAACTTAGCTGTGCTCTAAATAACTGACTAAAACTGAATAAAGCAAAATAAATGCGTTGCCATAACCATGAACGAAAACTTTAATGAAGGGGATTTCCCCGCTTATAGTCGTCGATAAAAAAAATCAAGTTGATCATCCTAAAGGGGAAGCCGGGAGATCCATAGCACAGGGTATCCTAGTTTGGACTCGTCTCCCATGCTCTTTGTTTTGTGGAAAAAATATGTTTGAAAAAGATAAACTGCAATGTACTATTTGTGGAAAAAAATAATAAAGGTCATTATTATTATTATCGGTAATGTGGACTAACAGTGCTGCTATAAAAGAGTTAATAACCCGCTAGTCGCTACAATTTTGAAATGTGTGCTAAATACACCAAAAAGCAATACGATTCATCGGCGAAAAATCTCAACACAGCAAATCAGAAAAGTTTGTAATTTGTACAACTCCATCTATTACGTCCTTTGTGTGAGAAAACATCCTTTTTTAAATCTCGTTTTATGTTTTAAGTATAAATATATTAATTATTATGGAACGTTTTTTTACACACAAATCTTTTTATTACTATTTCTGAGATTTTTATGAAGCCATTGAACAAATTCGAACCTACCTTTTAAAATAATAATCATTACTTTCGATAGAATTAACCAATTTTAATAAAACAAAGATTAAATGTAACTTGAAGATACGCTTTATGATTTTCTTAACGATTTCTTTGAAAAAAAAATTGTTTACTTTAGACGTGATGCATTCATATAAAAACAGACAAACAGACAGACAGACAATTCTAAAAATTATAAAAATGTACTTATTTAATTATTTTTAGTTCCCCATAACGATTTTAGTCACCAAAATATATATACAATGTACAGAAAGAGACACAACATGTTATCATCATTTTTATTATATGTATATATTTAATTAATTAAAGAGAGATGGCGCTGCTAACATCAACTTGATGACTCAAACAAAGCCACCGTTGAGCAAATTCCCTACCCATACTTCAGAATATTTATCATAACTTTTGATGGAATGAACCGATTTTAATGAAATAAAGACTAAATGTAAC